GTCGGATATTTTACTACTTTTTCCGTCTACAGATTGGGAATAACTCGATGATGAAGTAATACAGCTAAAGAACAGTCAAATAATCACTTACAGTGTAACTTGTCTTTGTATGTTGTCATAATATAAAACAGAGAGGCAGTATTTTTAGAATACCATGCTTTGTAGATGCCATGTTTGTTCACACCAACATATCTTAAGCATGGATTCCTACAGTTATTACACTCACTTAATGTCTTTCGTTAGTTATCCACCAATCAGAAGGAAATATTCTGATTTCACAATGACCGTTGTACTACTTTTTTATGAGTATAAAAGAAGGCGAATTTTAAACAGTATTCGTCAAGACGAGTAGCGGGAAAGCCAACACTAACGAGCATGCTGTGCACGGTAGTCATCATATGTGAGTATTGTCTGTAATTCTGTTCACTATGAACGTCAATGAAAAATTATCAGAGACAATCAAGACTTATTATAAAGTATTAAAATACTTCTGGATATTGTATAGAGTATTAGTTAGGTACTGGTTCTAGTTGAGTAAGTCATAAGTTAAGTATAGGTTATTCATATATTATGTTATGGTTATAAGGTTTATATGTATATATTGGGAGAATTAGTAATTATTGTGTAACTACTTTGTAGAATCAATTGCATTATTAGTATAAAATATATATTCATATTATTAGAAGCATATTTTAATTAATTAACGGCAACCACTCGTCTTACCCACCTCCAATATCACCACCACCCAGGTGTGTATACAACAAATTTGGTGGCAGCGGTGGGATTAAACACGTCTTTTAAAATTGAAGGATTGTGTCAGAAAAAAAATAACCTTCACTCCAGAAAAATAATACATACCTGAGTGAGTGAATTGAGGAGTTTTTAAAAGCAGAAAGAGAATGTGGGTAAAATTTGAAGAAATGTTTTAGTATGTCTTGTTGTCGCAGGCCTCCTCCCTTGACTCATAAATTCACGGTTTTATTAGTACACGTCGTAGGAGCTACCAATAATGACGCTCTTATAGGCTCAAACATATTTGCTAAGACTCTTGTTAAAAATTTCTTAATAAGTATACTAAGATAAATCCACAACGGGTTAACGAATTTGCATATAATTTTGAGAATTTAGAAGTTGACTCGCGTTTGGAAATTGCTCTTGAGGGTAAACCAAAGGGATTTGCTGCTCCATCATATAAAGTTTTTACAAACGAAACCTCAACGGGGACCGTAGTGTTTGAGGTAGAAACAAGGATCATTGAAAGATTCATTGCGCCAGGATATGAGTACAAAGATTTTGAAATCGAATGTACCGATTGTTTGCCAAGTTACGGAGGTGTAAATCATTTGACAGTCAACCACCCAACAAATCAGACCACCTGTTCACCAGGGACCTCACAGAGTGGAATTGAACCTGTGAGTCATAAGAAAGGGAAACATCGAGTGTCCAGTCGACCCGCTTACAGAGGATACGAGGTGCCTATTCAAAAATCAGACATTTTGACATTTGCGAGTGGCACCAGTCATGCCAGAGTTATCTGAGATCAGAGTGGACAGGGTGAATGATGATGTCATCAAAGAGAACTCAGCCGTGACCATTAAATTCTGCCTTTGCTCACTGATTTCCGTTCACCTAGAGGCATGACGGTTCGTGTGTATTCCGACTAGGTCGTCTAATCTCTGGGGTTTTTTCTATGTCCTGCTACGCCCCTCCAATCAGATATACCGTACTTTATCTGCGCGGTGCCTTGAGGCGATATTGTTATGAATGTGTTAACATGAGATACCACATGTTAAGTTACAAGAGGAAACCAGCATGTTTGTTTGTTATGTAGTTTTTTTTTGTCCTTTTCCACGGAAACAAGATTTTCTTAAAGATGGCTTGTGAGATGTTAGAAACTGACTGACATTTTAGAGGTTCTCTGAAAATGTTGCTAATTTTCTACCAGACTACATAGAGCAATTTTCCAGAAGACACGTGAGAACCTGAAATCTCACACTGTTTCTGTATTTCTGTCGCGTTTGTTCAGAGCCTGGAAGAGGCGGAGAGGGAAGTGGTGGAGTATCTCATGAGAGCATTGAAATATTGCGACCTTGACACGCCAGGCCCGCGCCAGCCTGTTTATCAGTTCCGTGCTGCCACCATCCATCACCGACTCGCATCTCTGTACCACAAGTCCTATAGGTAAGTAAGAGAATACAGGGGAAGTAGCGCAGAAAGCTGTCAGTGCAACCAACAGATGTTTTGAAGATGGCTGTCATGTGGGTTGAAACGCCATGTTGTCTGGTAGAAGTTTATTGACGTTGCAGAGGTCTTGCACCCTCCATCATCAGGGTTTGAACATAAAATACAGATCTCATTGACATCTGAAACTTTTGTTTGGGATCATCTTTGACGTGGTGATTCATTTCTTATGGTGCAGTGTGCTTCTATAATTTGATTGATTACCTTTGCAAAAAAAAGAAATGATTTGTGTGTGTAGTAAAGACAGTTTCAGAAAAATATATGTACTCCCATCAGAACACAGGTTTTGTATCTTGTTGCATTAACACCAAATTTGAGTCAGAAAAGAATACTTTTTTTCAGTAATGATGCCAGATGCTAAGGGCCCATAGAAATGTTGTATTTTTTCAAAATACTCCGTTTGTTTCAGGACCCTGACAGCAGATGATGCTCGCCGCAAAAACGTGTTGTTGTTGTCGCGTCTGCACTATGAGAAATCGAGTCACCTGATGTTACAGCTGGAGCATCCATTGGATTTCTTGCGAATTCAGTTGGAGCGTGTTGTTGCACTGTGTAGTATGGTAGATGTTCAGCATGCTCACCACTTGACCCCAAGGTTTACAGGTTTAAACCCGGGCAAGGTCGATGGATTTTTAAGGGTGATAAAAGTCCGTAGCACAACTCCCTTCAGGGGGAAAGTAAAATTGGCAGTCCCATGTCGTAGATTTACGGCAGAACCTTACAAGCATGAACGAGATGTTTTGTAAGCAAAATTCAGTGGCCATTTTTTACCCAAGTCTCTCCCGGATTCACTACTAGATGGATCTAACAGACAAATTAAAATTGAGTAGAAATTGTGCAGAGGCAGCGGGCTTGTCACTCACTACTCATAAATGCACACGTCAAAAGACAAAGAAACCTCCTACATGGGAGGAGGCCAAGGCTCAGATCAGGCTATTGCGCCATGAACAGAAGTAATGTGTACATCTGGTACACCTGATCTCGTAGCTTGGTGTCTCCGAACGTGAAATAAGCAAGGTGACCCCCAGCCTCAGAAGCAGCCATTAATTGCAACAGTGTCTTGAGTTTAGCAACACCTCTAAAAGCAGCACAACCCCAATTACCTGATGCCACTC